CAGTCTCTCCCAAGGTAACTTCAAGGGCAAGGACAGAACACACTTTGGGAAATCCTGTCGTAGAGGCTGCCAAGGAAAAGCTGGTCTGGGTACACAGCATCCTGGCTAGGAGATCACAGCATCCGGGGTTTAGGAGGGGATAAGTCTGGAGCTCTGACTTGGGCTACTATGGATGGAATCTGTCCCTCTTCAAGGACATATTGTTGAACAGCTACATCTCCAGCTGACTGTTACAATGTTTCCTTCTGCCAGCCCTCCACCTCTGAGACACCAGTACCATAAGTGCGAACCACAATACCCCCTTCATCAACTACACAGCTGTACTGTCCAGGCATCCTCCACAGACCCTTCTTCAGCTACCAGATCCCAATCGCCCTAACTTTCAGTAATCCAAAGCCAGGAGCCCCAGTCTCAGTGTGACTTTGGACAGGTTATTCGACTCACACTCTCAGGTCTGGAGGAGGCTCCTTTGGCTCCAAAATTCTGTCTGTTCTGCAGCTATCCTTCAGTGATTCAAAGAAAACAGCTTCTCACTTGGTGGAGCTGTGGCAACTCCCACTTCCAAGAGACCTGCTAGTACCTGGTGTTCGTTGGACATGAATATTACAGGAATTCTACAAAGTGCCAATGGGCTCCTCTGGCCAATCAGGAAATAAGGCCAGACCTTAATGTCAGCCAAAGACACCCTCCTGGGCGTGAGCCTAAGATAGCCATCACAAATACATAAATAAATAAATAAATACATACATACATACATACGTACATACATACATACATACATACATACATACATACATACATAAACAGCAATGGGGCTGAAAAGATGGCTCAGTAGTTAAGAGCACTTATTGCTCTTGTAGAAGAGCCAGGGTTTTTTTCCAGCACCCGCCCCCATGGTGGCTCACAGTCATCTGAATGTCCAGTCTCAGAGGATCTGACACCTCTTCTAACCTCCACAGGCTTCTGCTGGTACCTGATGTACATATATATACTCAGGCACATACACATAAAACAAAATAAATGTTTGTTTGTTTGTTTGTTTGTTTTTAAATAAGCAACGAGAACAAGCTGTTTGGACAAGGCCAGGTCAGGCCCCCCATGACTGGGGCCTGAGAACTTCTCCCTGGCCACCCCAAGTGACCTGACCACAAAAGCGTATATGAAGGTCATTGGTGCTGGCAGTTGCCAGGACAAGAGGAAACCAAGGACTGGGGCCAATCTGGACTCAAGAGTTCCAGGGTACTGAAGCCGCAGTCCTGATTGAATGCACCGGCTCAGACCCTGGGTAATTACCAAGCCATAATGGGATCTGATATTTATATTAGTCACGAGCTTGTCGGAGAAAATGTGTTGTTTTCTCAGACACAGCCATAGAGACAACACCTCAATAGTTCACAACATGCGGACCATCCTTGACCAAGCCCAAGCTGCTGTAGGGATGATAGCCCTGACTGAGATTATCAGTGGGTCTATGCCTGGCCACATTCAGGTCCCGCAGCAAATCAGAGACCCATCCACAAGTGGCTTGTTTCTCCAGACACTTAAAGAGAAGTAGACCACATGCTAGAAGATGAACAAGTCAAGAGAACAAAGATGCCTAAGTGGTTGGCAGCCGAATTTCAAAAGGATCTGGAGAACTGCAGAGCCCACTGAGCTAAGATCTTTCCCCCACAGTGCCTTGCTCCTTCCCTTCTCCTGTGTGGGACCCAAAAGCAGGGAGCTGATTAGGATTTGTGGGTTTCAACCCTCCAGTTTCACAGGGATCAGAGAAGTTCAGTGGTTTATCTAGGCTGCCTGAATAGCTCTCTTGCTCACTACAATCTAGGACTGGATTGAACTTCAGGATGTCATGGCCAAATGACCAGTACACGCTGATGAAACCTAGGGTGCTGGAGGGAAGCAATACCATGAAAAAGCTCAGAAAAGAACAGTACTGGCAAGACTGTGTCCCCGTCCCAAACAGGGGTGGGATGTGGTGAGCTTTACTGGTATTGTTTCACTCTTTGGCTATATGAGACAGGAAATGGCTATGCAGTCCAAGCTGACTTAAAACTCATGATCCTCCTGCCTCTGTCCTCGATTACTGGAATTATAGGCTTGTTCTTCCTTACTCCCCACACACATACCCAAAAATCCACAACCTATTTTTTTTAATGATAAAGCCATTAGCTATATGCTATTTGGAGGCCAAAGGTGCAAATGATCAGAGGCCCCAAGATGTATGTCCACAGTCTCGGGTTCCTTTCAACAAAAAACCATGGTGCAGACCTGGAGAACAAATGCACAGGATTCCAAGCTCCTGCTGAAGCATGACTCCCTGGGAATTTCAGGTGCCGAGAAAACATCTTCCCCAGAGCTCTAACTCCTAGAAAACCATGCTGCATCTGGATGAGGGTGGGGGTGGACAAATGGGCCTCAGGGCGAATAGAAGTTTTCTATGGGAAAGCATCCGAGATTTGCTTGGGGAGACTAACAGTACAAATGTTCTGAACTTGAGCTGAATTCTTTATTCTGTACCACGTCTTGACAAAACGACCAAATACTTGGAAAGCAAAGAGGGGAAAATATGATTGCAAACAGAACGCAGAGCCCAAAACGTAGAATGAAAAGCTTCTAAGATGCTCACTTACCATTGTTAGATACAGTGAGTTGAGTACACACAATTTAATTGAACAAATCAAGAGGCGGGTATTGAGAGATATGGGCATGATTTGAAAAAAAACTCATGATATCAAAAATAGCTTCATGCTATTCTGTCTTGACCTTCAGTCTTTCTAATAAACCGCAATTATCTCCCATTCCAGGTTGATTCTGTATAGAAACTCTCAACTATGTGCACTCAGTTAGTTGGTCTTGGGACTAAAAAATACGTAAACAAATAGGTATTGATTATTTTTTAATTATCCTTGCACAAAGCCTTTTTTTTTTTCTTTTTAGAAAACAGACAGAAGCTATGCTGGTCATTATTTAGGAAAGAGATTCTTTATATAAACTCTCTCCAAGGAGCATTTCATGACAGGCACTATACTAGCTCTGAATAACCCTAGAGTAAAGAGATGTAGACGCTGCATTTCAAATCTCAAGCTGATGAAAGTTTTTGTTATGATCAAAATGGCTCACTTTCTGAAAAACAGGAGGTAGTTTTTAAAAAGCCAACCTAAATCACTTCTATCTAGAAAATAATTGAGGTGCATGTAACTGTGAGCTACCTTCCCCCCTAAAACAGTTGCCAGATCTCTGTATGGGAGGGGGAGGAGAAACTCTCGGGATGGGCCGGAGCCGGAGAGGGAAGGAGTGATGAAGAGTCTATGATCAGACTGTGTCAAGTCTGATCAGGCAGAAGGCAACTCTGGGTCTGGCTGTAGGAACTCTGCTTAATCTGAAGGCTTCTCTGGAAGGCCAGCGATCTTTCTCCTTGAAAAGGAAGAGGGAACCTCCATCACCAAGAAGGTGACTCCAAACAAAGCCAGCTAGCCACCATTCGAGGCTTTCAGAGCGATAGGAAGAGAAAGCAAGCAAGGAAGGGCGATTTTCCTTTTTCCTCCCTTATTCCAACACACCAGCATTTTCCAAAACACAAATGTGCTGCCACAAAACACAGCTGAGGCCAGCACCTACAGTGATGTATAATTAATGACACAGAGTGCTTCAGTTGCCCTTGGGTTTCAGTCAGCCTGTCCCCTAGCCTAACTCCTCTCCTCAGCAGCCAGCAGCCTGCTACAAGTTGCTGGGTCCTGTGAAGTCTGAGGGGGGTCCCGGGATTAACTTTCCTGGAGCAGGTGTGAACATTTGAGGGCCAAGATGAGTGTCTGCCTTACACAATTCCCCCCAAATATCTCCTCCCTCCAAAAATGTGGGTGCTGTGAAGTCCCCTTAGATGAGAATGATTCAAAAAGAAGGCACCCAGTTTAGCTCCTTTTTTCCCCCATTTCTTTCTTTTATTCATTCTGTAGTTGTCTCTCAAACTGCCCACTCCCGGCCCCCGACCTCCAGCCAGTGCTAAGTGGTGGGCAGGGCCACCTCTAGGGATATGGCCACAGCCTAGGAATCAGCCTAGCAACCATACATCTAAGATGTGAGTCCTGGTGCCGGTGGGCGTCTCTGCCGGGAATAGCTTAAGGCGACTTCCAGCCACATCAAATGCCAAGAAGGAACTGAGAGAAGCCGCAGCCTCAGAGTCTGAGGCGAGCAGCCCTCGTGCTACAGCTTGGAGCTGCTGGCCGCATTTGCAGGGACCCAAAGTGGGTGGCCTGGGAGAGGAGTGCAGAGGCGACGAAAGTACTTGGGGTAGGGGAATGTTCCACAAAGAAAATGCAAAGGATGGAGTGGGCGTTGACATCAGACTTGCAACCATGCTATGTCAGAAAGTGACTCTCCATGGGTTGAGCCCCATTCTGGGATGGGTCTTCCCAACTTTCTATTGACCCCTATGCCCCGACTTTCTCCAGCCACGTTGCTCCCTCAGAATTCCCAAATGCAAGAGATTTTCTTCCTTGCTCAAAGGACCTTCCCTTCTTTGGGACCCCATGAACTCATCTCCCCAACAAGCTCCTAAGTCTGAGTTGATCTGTCCCCACTCGCCCACCGTGAGGAGCCTAGCCGCGGCCGGTAAGTGGTGCCGGGCACGCACCCAGGGTCTGTCACTTCCTCTGTCCCCACGAGGTTGCTTCTCCTCACTCCGCACCACCATACCCAAGAGGCACATGTGCCCCCACCCCGGCCGGTTCGCAGCCACTAACAATCCTATAATAAACAGGGAACTAAAGCGGGGGTCTGCATCCCGGAGCGCACCGGCTGGGGTCAACTCCTCACCGCTGGCGCACAGATCGTTGCCCCAATCCGAGAGCGCAGGGAGAGGAGAGGGAAGGGCAGACGGCGGGGACAAGGCAGGCAGGGACGGAAGGAGGCAAGAGGCGGTGCGGAGCAAAGAGGTGGGCTGCAGGGGACGCCGAGAAGCGGAGGGGCTGGCGCAGGGGGCGGGCGCCCGGGGCGCGCGTTACCTTCGTCTTGCCCCCGCAGTGGCAGCAAACGGTCCACAGGTACTTGAGCGTCCGCCAGAGCAAGATGATGAAGAGGCCCCCGAAGAAAGTCACCATGGAGGAGGCCAGGAAAGCCCACCACATGCGTTGGCCCCGGCTGTCGCACGGCACCTCCATGGTCACCGGGATGATGAGCGCATCCATCTTGGGCTCGTGGACCGAGGACGAGGAGGAAGAGGAGGAGGAAGAAGAAGAAGAGGAGGAGGAGGAAGAGGAGGAGGACGCGTCTAGGCTGAGATGGTTCGCGTGGATATTGCTGCTCATTCTAAGACCGCTGCCTCCGCCGCCGCCGCCGCCGCCGCC